CACAAAACGTTATGATAGCTCACAGAGAAAAAAAATGTGACAATGAGTGTGTATATGTCCATGTATGAAAAATTGTGCTCTACACTGGAATTTGACACAACATTGTAAAATGATTATAAATCAATAAAAAATGTTTTTAAAAAAGTCCTTTCTCTCTCCCACTTTTTTAAAGTAAAGCGAGAATCCAATTCACTCAAAGCAAGGGGGTAAAAAATATATGCATATATATTATATATATACACATACACACACAGTTGTGTGCACTATGCCTGCTATCACAGAGTAATACGGTAACAGCAGGAGATTACGGTACTAGCTGGGGCTACCGACTGTTACGTCAGCGAGAGCTGCAAAGTTCCTTGCCATTCTTTGCTGATGTCGGGGAGCTGAATATTAAAAGGGTGAAGGTGGAGTTATTACTTGGCTGTATTTTTTTTTCTTTTTCCATTTTCTCCTTTATTTTGAAAATCTCCAGGTAAAGCGTCTGCGAGCTAGAAGCTTAAAAAGGTCTGTGGTAGAGAGGTGAGTCAGCGGGCGCCAAAGGATTAGGAATTGGTGCGTCGGAGAGAGGGTCCTCTCTTCCCCGAGGAAGGAGGCGGCAGGGCTGCTGCCAGGACCGAAAGCCGGTCCCCTCCCCGCCGCGCGCGGGCTGGCGGCTCTGCATCCGCGCTCCAGGTGAGTGCGCTGCAGCGCCGGCGTCCAGCAGGGCCGGGTGGCTGAGGGCAGACCTCCCTGGGCCTCGGGGTGAGACCGAACTCCCACTCTCCCCAAGCTCCTCCCGCTTTTTGCATCCGCATCCCCACCCCACCTCGTTTCCCTTATAGATTCTGGTAAGTTACCTCCTAGTTAACAAGTGTGTTTTTAACCCCATGTTTATATATTCCCGAGACAGGGGAAACGAGTTTCTGCAGTTGCTTGCTTTTAGTACCACCTGTGAGCTCTAGAACTTACGATTTTCACAGTAGCCTTTGCCCGGGAATCCCGCCTCAGGGCCCAACCGCAGAGTCCTTCCAAGGCTAAGTGGGTCCCCACTCCCCGGATTCCTGCGTGAGTCCCTGCGATCGGCTTGCAGCTGTGGAAACCTAGCTTTTCTTACGCAGACCGTGGCCCCCAGCCCAGAAAATACACGGCGTCCCCTGTCCGCTGGCGCGGGGACTTGCTTTTTACGCTTACAAATTCCGCAGCGGTTGCTACTTGCAAAGCCCCTTGGGCGGAGTAATGCTTCCGGCTCCCACTCCTGCCCCTGGACCCCCTCCCCACCCGAGCCCGCCTGGGTGTGGCTTGAGGCTCCGGCCCTCTGGGACCGCTGATCCCTTGGCTTGGAAAGGAATCCTGGACCGACCTAGGTCGCGTTCAGCCCTCGTTGGGTCCCGAGGGCTTTGCTCTGGACCCGGCTCTCAGGCCGGTTTGGCTGGTCGACAGACCGGCGCGCTCCGCACACTCAAGTGTGAATTCCTCCGGCGTGAGCGCGCGCGTGGCACAGGCCCTGCGGTCCCAGGGTCGCAGCGGTTCCCTCTCCCAGGCCGCCCCCTCCAGGTGACTGCCAAGCAACCTGTTTGAAACGCAACTGGATAGATTCTCCCTGTTTTCGCCGGCTCGGCTCGGTGCGACACAACCGCCGGCCGCAGTCGCGCTTCCCGGGCTCGGGGGGTTTAATTTCACCGTGCGGTCGCGGAGCGCTGCAGCTCGGGGTTGGTTTGCTCCGGATCTTGAACCCGCCGGAGGCCGCGCGGCGGAGCGCGCCAGGCAGGTTCCCAGCGGCGGGACGCGGCTCGCGGTCCCCGCCCGCGCGCTCGGCTGCGGCAGGGCGAGCGGCTTTGGGACCGCAGAGTCGGCGGGGCTCCCAGCCGCGTCAGGCCGCCCGTCGAGCCGGGCACAGCGTCGCTCGCCAGGGCGCCTGGCTTACAAGCCGCATTTCTCTTTGGGCTCTTTCAGGAGGACGCTGGCAAACAACGCTCCGCAGCCGCCCGGGTCTTGGCTAACATTTCGCATCCACGTCTCCCGGCCTGCGCGCCTAGAAGCTGGATCTAGCATGAGTCCAGCCACGCAGTGGGTAACTGCGGGCAGGGAGAAGTGCCCAGATGCCAACGGTCCCCGCCTTTGAGAGTCGACGGCAGACCAGTACTTGCTTATGGTTTGAGGGGAGACAGTGCTCGATTTTTGAATTCCAAGTTATGCGCAAAATGCTCAATCTGCTAACCTGGACGAATCAGACAGTGCAGAAAAGGGACCGCCTGTAATTCTGGGATTGCATTTTGCAACACGTCTTTTCGAGCTTCTTGCTAAGTCTCGGATAGGGAGGGAGCTGGGGCCCCGGGCCAGTGCACTGGGTGGAGAGGGTCTGCGGGCAGCCCCGCGCGCCCCTGCCATGTCGCCTTTAATGCCCTACCCCTTTGCGTGGCCATCCGAGGATTTCCAGGGCTGGCAGGGGTTGCTTCCCACCTGCACGCTCTCTCTTACCCCTAGACAACCCCAGCAGGCAAGGCTCCCCCGAGCTGAGACCTTTTGACTCCCTGCTCCCTGGCTCCGGCCTCCGCCCCCGCCTGGGGGTGGCCCTCAAGAGCTGGACGTCGCCCGGCCCGGCTGGGACCATGGTGTTTCTCTCTGGAAATGTTTCCGACAGCTCCAACTGCACCCACCCGCCGCCACCGGTGAATATTTCAAAGGCCATTCTGCTCGGGGTGATCTTGGGGAGCCTCATCATTTTCGGGGTCCTGGGGAACATCCTGGTGATCCTTTCCGTGGCCTGCCACCGGCATCTTCACTCGGTCACTCACTACTACATCGTCAACCTGGCGGTGGCCGACCTTCTACTCACTTCCACGGTGCTGCCCTTCTCCGCTACCTTCGAGATCCTGGGCTACTGGGCCTTCGGCAGGGTCTTCTGCAATATCTGGGCGGCGGTGGACGTCCTGTGCTGCACTGCGTCCATCCTGGGACTCTGCATCATCTCCATCGACCGCTACATCGGCGTGAGCTACCCGCTGCGCTACCCCACCATCGTCACCCAGAAGAGGGGTCTCATGGCTCTGCTCTGCGTCTGGGCGCTCTCCCTGGTCATTTCCGTCGGGCCTCTGTTCGGCTGGAGGCAGCCGGCCCCCGAAGATGAGACCATCTGTCAGATCACGGAAGAGCCGGGCTACGTGCTCTTCTCCGCGCTGGGCTCCTTCTACGTGCCGCTGGCCATCATCCTGGTCATGTACTGCCGGGTCTACGTGGTGGCCAAGAGGGAGAGCCGGGGCCTCAAGTCCGGCCTGAAGACCGACAAGTCCGACTCGGAGCAGGTGACGCTCCGCATCCATCGGAAAAATGCCCCCGCGGGAGGCAGCGGGGTGTCCAGCGCCAAGAACAAAACGCACTTCTCCGTGAGACTCCTCAAGTTCTCCCGGGAGAAGAAAGCGGCCAAAACCCTGGGCATCGTGGTCGGCTGCTTCGTCCTCTGCTGGCTACCTTTCTTCTTAGTGATGCCCATCGGTGAGTCTTTACAACACAGCATTTAGGGGTCTCCGCTCTCTTTTGCTACCCAAGACTAACGGTCAGGGGCGGAAGAGAAGGGATCTGCATTTCAAACAGCAAAGCTAGGAGGGCAGTTAGGAAAGAATCCTCTGTAGAAAAGTGAATTTTTATTCCCTTTCTGCTCCGGTCTCATTTATTTTATGTCCTAGGGGACGGGACTTTTTCAACTACTGCAAAGAGGATTCCAACCGGTGCAGATTAATTGGTCTCTTTAATAAGAACGTCAACTTTTTCTTAACGCTTTTAAGCATGTGTTTAATTTAAATACATCCATCCTCGGATTTCAAGTCTGAGTCTCCACCAGACGCTTAGGCAGGGGCTGTGAAATGCCGCTTTCACCTCTGCTGCTGTAAGCCGCAAATTTTTTTGGCCTAAAAATAAGCACCAGGTTTATTCTGAACAAACCGTGCAGTTTTATTGTTTAATTAGATTATTCCTAAGGGTTAGTTATACCAGTCTGCTTTTGTTCTATATCTGGGTTCATTTTATTTTCTCGCTTCAGTATGAAAGGAAGTATGGTTGAGCCACTGACAGGGAAAAAAAACGATAAAAACCAATTTCACCTTTAAAGAATTCAACATAACATTTGCAATAAGCAAATACCTTCCCCTTTCTTTTAATAGTAAGTATTAAGCAAGCATTACTCTGATCCAGAATCATTCAGGAAGCTGCAGATGACACTATTTGAAAATAATACAGTAATGTTACAAATCCAATTTTCACAAATGCTAAATTAGCTGTTGTCAAAACTAATTAGCTCATTATAAGTGTCAGCAAGCTGATCCACTTGGAAGAGTCATCTGTCTCTGAAAGGCCTTCATGAGATCCCCAAGTGGCTGTTCGCTATTTTTAGCTTGTGCGTTCAAATATAGACCCACACATTGGTTATCCACTAACCCTAGTGAACAAAAAATTATAATAAAAATTAGTAAAAGTCTGTTTCTGCACTTTCGAGCCAATTTAAATGGCATATATACTGAAAGCATTTTAATTTGCAACTCTGTAGTAATAGCAGCTGTTTTTTTGAGGGCTATGTTTCAGGCATTGAAACATAGGTATTTTATATCATTAATTCTCTCAATAACTCAGTGAGGTATGCATTATTATCCTGCAATCACACGTTGGGAGAAGGAATTCTTCAGATACCAGAGCTTTGCCATCTAATACCATAGCCACCAACCCATGTGGCTATTTAATATGACTTAAAATTAAAGAAAATTAATATTCAGCTCCTCAGTCCCACTAGCCACATTTCAAGTGTTCAGTAGCCACCTGTGGCCAGTGGCTACTGTTTGGAACAGAAGAGACATGGAACATTTTCATCATTGCAGAAACTTCCACCAAAAAAGTCTGCTCAAGGGGCCCTTCCAAGTCCACTACCTGTCCTCCCATCACTATTGCTTATTCTAGAATAACATCACAGATTTTTTAAAAAATATAATTTTATTGACGTATAGTCAGTTTACAATGTTGTGTCAATTTCTAGTGCACAGCACAATGCTTCAGTAATATTGGAACATACATATATCGTTTTTATATTCTTTTTCACCATAAGTTACTGTAAGATATTGAATATAATTCCCTGTGCTATACAGTATAAACTTGCTGTTTATCGGATTTTGTGAGAATCCTCCTGTATTTTGAAACAAGAGACATTCTGCCAGAGTTCAGTAGGTGTTCTGTATGATTCAGTGGGTTTATAGACATAATTCTTGGTGTATTTGTGGGAGAGGGCAAAGCTGGGAGTCTCTCTACTCTGCCATCTTGGCTCAATTCCCCCAACATCACAGCTTTGAATGTATCTAAACAGCATTCTTTACCTCTGAGCCACTGCTTACTTACCTACCTCTCTGCATCCCGTCTCTTCCTCCTGAAGTTTGCACGTTTATTCATGCATCCACTCACTTGTCAAGTGTTTAGTAAGCATTTATTCTAGACACTTAGGATGAACAGGGAAGAAAAATCCTTGTAATAAGATGTTTGCAATCTTTTGGGGGAAGAAGACAAAAACAAAAAATACATGCCAAGAAATCAAAGATTAATAAGCACTATTTTAAAAGTCAACAGGATCAGAGGATAGAGTGGTGTGACAATGTAGTGGGTGGTCAGGAAAGTCCTCTCTGAAGAGCTGCTATCTGAGCAGAGACATGACTGAAATGAAAAGCAAGGATTTCAAAGTCTCACGGGGAAGAGCTTTCTGGGCAGAGGGACCACCAAGTTCAGAGATGGGAAGGAAACTGATCTAGTCACGGCAGAGCAAAGAGGCCAGTGTGGCCAAATTACAGAGAATGAGGGGGAAGACGAGTTCAGAAAGAGATTAGGGGGCCAGACATGGTCAAGGTACTGTGGGTCTTTTAGGCCAAAGCAGAATCTGCATGTTATTCTAACTGTGATGGAAAGCCATCTAATCAGAGGGGCTTTAGCAGGGGCGTGGCTGGTCTTCCATTTTTAAAGGATCATTCTGGTTCCTGGGAGAAGAGAGGGCTGTTGAGGGGTGAGTGTGGAAAAAGGGAGACCAGTTTGTGGGCTGTTAGAAAAGTCCAGGCATCCCGCCCTGGACTCAGGTGAGGGGGGGAAGGTGCTGCGAAGTGATCACATTTCAGCACTTATTTCAAAGGTGAAACTGACAAGTTCAGGCACAGGGTACGAGAAGAGGAGAGGCGTGAAGATAACTTCCAGGTTTGGGGCCCTAACAGCTGGGTAACTAGTAGTGCATTTTATGGAGCTTGAGAAAACTAGAGAATGACAGGTTGTGAGAGGCTGGCGAGAGTGTGAGGTACAAGAGCTTATTTTGTACAGTCCATGTTGAGAAGTGTCTATTAGATGTCTAAGCAGAGATGTCAAGCAGGCAGTTAGATACATGAATTTAGCGCTAAGGGGGGAAGCTGGGTCATGATGTAAACTTGGGACAATCAACATATTCAAAGCCACAGAAATGGAAGGATCTGCAAGAGAGAGTGTGGAGAGAAAAGAGAGACAAGGACTGAGCCTTGGAGCATCCTGGTATTTGAAGGTTGGGGAAAGGAGGAGAAGGAATCAGCACAAGAAACTGAGAAGGAGTGGCCAGGGAGGTAGGACAGTGTGGTGTCCCTGAAGCCAAATGGAAATGTTTGACAAAGGCTAGAGCCATCAGCTCTGTCACACACAGCTGCTAGGCCAAGTCAGAGGAAGACTGGGAGCCAGCATTGAGCTTGACCATGTGGAGGTCCTTGGTGATCCGAGGAGGTCCCTTGAAGAGTGTAGTTTCAGTGGAGTGATGGAGACAAAAGCCAGATTGTCTGCTTTCTTGACAGAATGAAAGACGAAGTGGGAACAGTGAAAATAGGCAACTCTTTGGAAAGGTTTTCCTAGACAAGAGAGCAAGGAATGGAGTGTAGCTAATGGGATCTAGGGAGTTTTCAAAGGTGGGAGATAGATAGCATGTTCATATTCTGACAGCGATGAAGGAATAGGGAGATCCTGACGTAGGCGAGGAAGGAGACAGGAGGGTTGGGAAGTGACAGGGAAGCTGGGGGGTATGAGCACAGATGCGAGTACATATGGAGGAGGAAAGGTCCAGATTTGTTTGAAATATGTTTATGTCCTCAATGAAATAAGAAGCAAGATCATTGACTAAGAGTGTGGAAGGAATAGGAAATGATGGTGGTTTGAGGGGAAAAGAATACATGAAATACTCATCTTTGAGGTGAGAGAGTAAATAGATTACAGAAATTTAGTAGAGTCACCAAGAGGTTCCAAAGACGTTTGAGAGTTAGGGTCATAAACTTAAAGCTAAGACCAGTCAAGAAGGTTGGACGTTGCGTTCTAACAGCTGAGAGGCTGAGAATTACAGGGAATGTAGCTGATGACTGACTGTATTTAGGGACCGCAGTAAAGAAGAGGCGTTTGTGAAGGGACATACGTGGGATCGGATTAGGGGTCATACAGAGTCAGATGAGGAAAAGCTCAGGTAATGATAGGTGCCTGGGCATTTGGGACTTGGGTGGTAGCTTTGCCATCCAAGGATAGTCTGCATCCTGAGGTCCTCTAGGGGAAGGGAGACTCGGGTCTAACCATAGCCTTCCTCTTGGATCTGCTTTCCTGGGGAGTTGGTAATGTTGAGGTGAAGATGTTATGGCAGAGGGCAACACCCTGACATCATCACTGGTCTTCCTTTAAGTCCTAATAATGTGGTTACAACAGGAGGGAAATTACAAATGTATAGTTAACAGTGTCTGACCAGGCTGCCAAGTAGAGCAAGAGATCCCTAAACCTGTGGTCCTAAATCTGTGGTCCACAGTTTCTTCTTGACACCAAACAAGTAAGACACTATTTCCTCCAGGAGTTTCTGACTGTATAATAAGTAGCAGGCACTGAGGTAGACGGAAAAGAAAGATGAATAAAGCACATTCGCTGCCCTCAAGGGCCTCACAATCTAGTTAAGGAGACACATTGAAACTGATCATCCCAAGTCTGCGGGATGGGTCCTCAAAGTGGGCATTACAAGTGCTAACAGCTAACTGTGTTTGGAGATCACTGCGGAAGCTACCAGAAGTATCATGGTTGACTAAGCAGGGACTTGAAGACTGTACCACTTCTCCTGGGCAGAGCAGCACACCCGTGAGTAGGTTTTTTTTTTTTTTAGTTATCTAAAGTACATTTTTCATGCAAAATGTGAGCAGAAGAATAAATATGCCATTATATTATTATACACAAGGGACATGAGCTCTTAAGTATGACAAGTACTCTCTTGGGAGGAAAAGCTTATCGGTCTGTGCTGGGCTGCCAGGAAACAGCAGGATTAGAGACTACAACCAGAGCAGGGATGAGTGTAGGATCCTACGCTGAGAGGAGAAGCACCCACGTGTGTGGGAACCAGCCCAGGATAATCAGGTGCGTGAGGACTTCCCGTGTCATTGCCGAAGGTCCGCCTCTGTGCTGTGAGAAGGCTCTGTCTCCCTGTGGACCCCACCCTTCAG